CTCAAGGCTGAACAAACCCGGTTCTCTCAGCCTTTTCTCATATGGCAGCCTTCCCAGGCCTCTGATCATCTTTGTGGCCCTTCTCTGGACCCTCTCCAGCCTGTCCATGTCTCTTTTGCATCGTGGGGACCAAAACTGAACACAGTATTCCAGCTGTGGCCTGACAAGCACTGAGTAGAGTGTGATAATGACTTCATTATCTCTGCTGGTGATGCCCTTGTTGATGCAACCCAGCATCCTGTTGGCTTTCTCTGCTGCAGCAGCATGCTGTTCACTCACATTGAGCTTGTTGTCCACCAGGACCCCCAGGTCCCTTTCCACAGAGCTGCTTCCCAGCCGGGTAGATCCCGACCTGTGCTGTGTTTTTGTTGGAAAAATTGTTCGGGGTTTGATGTTTCAGTATGCTGGGCAGAAGAGTGTCCTTTAAACAAAGTTATGACCTGTTTTATCTTTTGACAATATATGAACTTGTATGTGCAAGATGTCATTGTAACTATAGAGAAGCTGTAGGGGAGTGCAGGAAAAGATGGAAACAAAACAGGCACTTGGACTATGGACAGTGGTTGCTCCAGAGCTGACTGACAGATATTCTAATGTGATGGCTCTTGGTTCTAGCAAAAGGAGCTAGACTTGCTCTTGCGCTGTAAAAAGTGCATGCCATTAAAAGAAGTGTCACGTGCCTGCAGGACCTTAGCATGCACACACAGTTCCACTGAAGACAGTATTTGAGCCTTTAATTCAAGCGGTTCATCTTGAGTGGTTTTTTTTTTTCCTTCTCTGTTACAGGGCATCTGACCTTCTGTACATGTTAACGGAAACAAAGCCTGCTTGGTGAGAGAAGAGTTCGGGTCCGTAACATTCACTTTAATTGCCCAGCCCCTCTGCTGTGGTTCAGATGTCTCTGTGCCTGGCTTGCTTAGTAATTGTTCCTGGGAATTGATGTGTGTTATAAGCACTAACATCAAGCAACTCTCATTCTTCAGCTCTCAGATTTGAGAGTATTTTAAAGTATGTGAACTGAGGAATGCATAGCTGTGGGATAGCTGCCTAGGAAAGGATGGTTTGTTGTACTTATCACCCTGGAAATGAGACCACATGTGTCTCAAGGAGGTCCTGTTTTCTTTGTCATGATTAGTCTGAAGGCAAAGTTCTTCTGAGTTGTCAATCTAAATTGTCAAGGAAGGTGTGGAAATGCTTAAATAGCTGACTGGGAAAATGTAGAGCTGTATTCGGCTGAACACTGCCAGCACACATACACTTCCCGAGGAAATAACCTCTCTGCCTCTTCATGGATGATTCAATAGAGTAAAAATTGACTTTATGGAAAGTTTTGGGGAAGAAGCAGGGAAAGTGGCAATTATGGGAGTTGTCATGCAAAAATTCCATGTTAACAAATGGGGGAACTATACTAGAAAACTACTGTTGTGTTTCTCAGCTTATTATTTGCTACTTTTCATGTGAGTATTACCAAAATAACTAATCCTTGGTACTCTTTAGTAGCATGGTAATGAGTTAAGATATGTGAATGACACTAACCTTTTTCAAATTATATAGTGGTTGCATTCAGAAAAATCTCTGCAGTGCCCTAGAAACAGTGGGGCCAGACTCTTTCAGCTGTACTAATGTGTATCCAAACTCATTTATTTAACAGGGTTTAGTAGTGTTCCTCCTGATTTGCATAGTGGTGTAACTTGAAACATGACTTACATAAATTAAGTTGCAGATCTAGAGGAGACAGATCTCTTGTAATGTTTGCACACCTGTTTAAACATCAAACTTGTGTAGTTAACCAAGGTTTGCATAGTTAACAGCTGTTGCTTTAGGAAAAGCCAGTTTGTTGTTTGGTTTCCTGCATGTTCTTGTCTCTTCCTGCTGCCACAACCTGTTCTGTAAGCTGCAGACCTGGTGTTCCTGGAGTTGGGTACCAGGCACTTCTTCGAAGATAATACAGCTCTAATTCAGGCTGGTCAGAGGGCTAACCTGTGCAAATCTTTATCTTTAGTGACCAAAATTGTGCTATGAATGAGCTGCCTGAATTTTCTACCTGTTCACCTGTAGATTTTGACTTCTTTATGAGCTTTGATTATCCTGAAGTCATCTACAATGCATCTATCTGTCAGGAGGGAGCACAAAGCTTTTTTTGTTTGCAAGTATTGTATTTGTCCTTTAGAGAGCTGTTCTTTAGAGCCAAATTAATCAAATACTCCTGCCCAGCTTAGAGTATTAGTTAGCTTTTCATAAAAAGCTTTCTTTTTGAATAGTAACATGCGCCTTCTTTTTATACATACACATGATTACTGGTCTGGGTCTGCATGGTAACAGCTGAATGTGCCCCTTTCTAATTAGAACCATACCTATTTTCTGTCATGCTACTTAAGCAATAGAGAGTGACTTAATATGTATAAAGCTCATTCAGAAGAGCCTTATTGTGTTGGCATTAACACGATCATTAAAGTAAGAATACTGTTTGTACCAGTTAGCTGTAAAGTTGGTAAATGGTAGAATGTTAATAGATGTTTCAGCTTGATTGCCATCAGAAAAACTCTTGCTCTGATATAGTCCTAGCAATGTGATCCAGGGGAATACTATTTTGATATAAAAATCTGCCAACCCTTCATTTCTAATTAGTATTGCTTGGGGAATTCACTTGCAGGGTAGGTCTAAACTATTAACTTGATTAACCCATATTTTTAAAGTTACAAGGTACTTTTGAGACATGTTTAATTATGTTCTGTATTATAGGAAGGTTATTACATGTGGGACCAAGCCAATGTGGCTTAAAACAAAAAAAATACTTAGAGTTGGAAAAAACTGTTAGCATTTCAAGGAAATAATTTCTCTTCATTTATACAGAAAGTGTACATTACATGCTGTAAACCCAGATGCATGTTTTCACTCAGTTGGCTTAGTTGGTGTAATTTATGTTGAAGTATGACCACCTGCAACTTCTGTAAAATATCACATTGAGTATTTTAATACATGATTCTGCTGAGCAGTAGTAGCAATAGGAAGTCTATAGGCTGAGTGCTAGAAATTTTGCTGTAGTGCTGTCATTTTGCCTTCTTTAGAGATTCAGTTAAAGTAATAACTGATTTGCCTCAAACCTAGTAGGGGTTTGTAATTGCTTGAATAGGAAACGAGGTGAAATTGAAATATAACTACCACAGTCTAATAAGATGGGATCTTAATTGTTATTTAATTAATCATTTTGTTTAACTTGCCCTGCTGATTCTACCGTAGTGTCCAGGATTGTTTTCTATAACAGATTTGTGCCACGTTGTCCCTTGTTACGGTTTGATTCTGGAACATACATCAGTATATCATTAAATGGGGATGGGGAAGAAAAGAGGGAGGAGAAAATGGATAAAGCAAACAGATGGTCTTGGAGAATGCTGTTCTCTAACCCTGTATGTACAAAGATAAGTGTAAGAGAACCCCACTGAACTTAATTGCCTGTGGGTCAAGGTTGTAGTAAGAGTTTTATCCATAGCAGTCAATTGTGAAAGGCAGATCATGTAGATAAAGCATTTGATTGTACTAGTCCTTCATGATTTGTGAATAGTAATGCCATGGATTTCAATTGATCTGGAAGGCTTATTGGTGGGAGAGAACAAGAAAAGCATTTCACATGAGGACAGCCTTAATGCAAAGGTGCTCTTGACATTTCTAGGAAACATCAATAAAACAGCATCTTGCCTGTGTTTTAGGAGTTGTTATTAGTGTTTCAGGAAACACTTTTCTCTTTTGAAAGGGTTGTTGTCTTAGGGTTCTCAGTTCTTTGGAAATACAAGCTGCCTTAAAAAACAACAACAAAACCCCATGCAACAATGAAAAACCCCAAACAAAAAACAACACCAAACAAAAAAACCCAAATAAAATGATACCCCAAAACTCCTGTCACAAGTTGTCTGGCTCTAGCAGAGCTCACGTTTGGTGTCTGGGGGAAGACACCTGAAATACAGCTGCAAGCACATGGCTTTTAAAACTCCAACTCTGATGCCCAGTAGTTAACAGTGGGGGAAGGTGCTGTGCTAATTTGGTGGGGGAAAGTAAGACAGAGTTACTCTTCTTACTCTAAAAATATTTTTTTTTTTCCTTGTATAATGGAACACTACATGCTGTTAGATAGACTCAGTCTCTCATACAGCTCAGGCAGTGCAAGGAAACTCATGCTGCAGAACCTATCTCAAGAAGGCATGTAGATGACTGGGTTGTAGCTAATGTGTTCAGAGAGCAAGGACTTGCACATGAAGTCTTAATCTCTTTTAGGTTATTTTTGGTAACTTGGCAACATGGGGGTGGCTTATAGAAATTTCAAAATTGAATGGCTAAATCTTTTTGTCATCTTGGATGCTTTTTTCCTGAAGTTGTACTCATGCCTATCATGGGTTTGATGTGAGCAAGACAAGAAATTACAGGTTGTTGAGGCTAGTTAGTGCAGTGTACTTTTGTTTTAAGATAGAAGAAATAGTAATATAACTGCTCAGGGAAAATAGCCAGGAAAGATTAATCTGAAAAAGTGTGCGTTGTTGTTCTTTAGGATTATTCATAACTGAGTATAGAGTGGTTCTGAACTGGGAAATGAGGCATTTTAAAAATGGCACTACAGAATTTCTAACTTCTATGTTCATCTCGGCACTTAAATCTACGTTTTGATACGGCGTAAGCACTTGATCAAGTGCTTGGAACTGAGGTAAAAGGTTGCCTGTTCATGGTGCTGAAGTTTGGATGGATAGTAAATTATCTGGTGGTTTATCCAATAATAAAGGTACCAGCGATTAAAGTGGGACTGTCAGCCTTCTGGGTCTGTGTGATACCTCTTTCGTTCTGTACAGCTCTTCCTCATAACACAGGCAACTTACTACTTCGATGTTCTATATTTGTCTTTACTGGGTGATCTTTCTAACACTGGCTTTTAGAAGCCTACTTGAAACTTTTTGGTCATAATCCCTCTATAATTTTCCAATGAAGTACTGAAATAAAAATCTTCTAACTTGCAGCACAGCCAAGTACAGCGTGGTGACATTTCTACCTCGATTCCTGTATGAGCAGATAAGAAAAGCTGCAAATGCATTCTTCCTCTTCATTGCCTTACTGCAGGTATTGTTTTATTGGGTTGCCTTGATTGTAAAATGAAATTGTAATGTAGTAAAAGTTGTTTCAGTTGTTACGCTTAACCACAAAGAAATTCTTAGACATATTTTAATAGTAATATTAATAAGTTATGTACTTAAAATTGAAATTAGAAGGCAGCTTAGAGACTTTTTCCAATGTAGTTTGTAAAATCAAGCTACTTTTATTCCTAATAAGTAAAAACAAGAAGTAGTATCGTAAAATACGGAGCTATTGACCATACTGGAAAAGCATTTGTGGATTCTTGTGAAACTGCTGACTATTTAGATAGTCCAGATTATCACTGCTTCCAGTTGAATTACATCTGTTGAATGCTTTTCTTGTGAAGAGAGGAGAAATAGAATAAAAGGCATGTACAACAACTTTGTCTTCTAATTTTATGGTAGTAGTTTTTTTTAAATCTGTTGAGAGCTTGGGCTAGTTTGCCCACTGAAATTGGATGTCAGTGAGGCACAAATCGGGAAGCTCTGCATTCTCTCTTCTGAGAGCTTTGCATAAAGTTCTAAATTAGCTAGAAACTAATTTTAAACACAAATATAAAATGGATATCTCTTCTCTCTCTGTTCACAGCAAATTCCAGATGTCTCTCCAACAGGAAGATATACCACCCTGGTGCCATTGCTATTTATTTTAACAATTGCTGGCATCAAAGAAATCATAGAAGACTATGTGAGTATGATTATGGGGAAGGCTGTGCTAAAGACAATGATTCAAAAAAAGTCACAAAATGCCACAAAGCTATGCATCTCTGAGGTCTATTGAGTCATTGCTTAACAGCAGCAAAATATCCTTTTTACTTTCAAAGCTCTGAACTTGACTAGAATTTCTGTAGCACACTGGGATAAATTAAGCATTTTCATTATAGATGGTGAACAAGGTAACAATAGAAGTCAGGACGCTTGTTTCTACCTCTTCAAACTTGTTTATTCATGCTTTTGTTAGAAACGCCTGGCTAGAAAGACACTGTAGAGTCCTGACAGTGGCTTTTTTGGTTGGTCTTGAAAATGGGCGGGGGGGAAAAGCAACTTTAGCGTAGAACAAACTGTTTTGGGGAAATCTTCACTAACTTACTTGGATACTGTTGATAATAAAGAGGTCTTTCTGCTTTGCCAAGTTCTGATGAATGAAATAATTTAGAAATCAGTCTAAACAAACAGCACATAGACTGTATAATGCACCTGTCGTCTAAGTATACTGTTCCTCATTGTTCTTCTTATTTTTCTTCCAAAAACCAGTTTTGCAGACTTAATTTTTTTGCTGTTGATCCAGGCTTGAGCCTGACTTTCAACATGGAGACTGTCACTTTAAAGCTAAATTATATTCTCTTACAAATCATTTGGATTTAGATTTGTGTGGCTTTTAAAAAAAAAAAAAAAAAAAAACCAAACCAAACATAAAGGCAAAAATGACCTAATATATCATCTTGCAGTTTGTCATGTTTCTAGCTCTAATGGTTTTAGAATCTGTAATAAAGTGTAATGAAATGTTTTGTTTCCTTGCAGAAAAGGCATAAGGCAGACAGTGCAGTGAATAAAAAGAAAACAATAGGTAAGATTAAACAGTCTTTAACTTAAAGTGCAAATAGTGAATACCAGCACACTTACTTTTGAACAAGTCTATTGCTTAAACAGTCATGGCTGTGGGGAACACATGTCTTTTTGGACTAGGTAGTTACTGGTATGTTAGAAATCTACTTTGAATGTTTCAGACTGATGCTGATAGTGTGACACTTGAGGGCGAAGCATGGGGGTGATTATTAGAATTTGTAAGTTGATGTAATTTCAAGGCTGTCCAAAGTTATACAGTTCTTGGCTTCTCCAAGAAAACCAAACAATTTTCTCCCCTGCCAAACGCTATCCTGATTATTCTTAAAAAACAAACAAAAAAGCCACACACACACCCCCCCACCCCAAAACAAACACCCCTCCCCACCAAAAAAAATCCAAACAAACAAAAAACCCCAACAAACCCTTGAAACACTAAAAGTTGGTGTCAAAGAAATTTTAAGTCATTTTTGTAAATGCTGCTGCCCTTAAAATATAGCTCTGGGGATTTTGTGGATTTGCTTTCTTGAAGTGTCACTGAAAGAGAATTTAACACTGATATCCTCTGAATCCCTACATGTATCCCTAATGTATTGATGCTACTTGGCACTGAAGACATAGTTTTTGTTTTCTTCATCTCCCTTAACTGAAAACCTGCGCAGAAAACATGAAGAGTTTATTGATGGTCAGCCCTATGGTCAGTCCATACTGCAGTCACGGGATCTCCATGATCCTGTGTTGGACAGCTCCTTTGCTGCTCCTCTGTGGAGATCTGCAGATGAAACGGAAAACACAGGGACTTGAGCCTTTGAGTAGAGCCCCTTCCTCCCAAACATGTTTAGCTTAAGTGTCAAGAAGCTAGAGGAACACTTAAAGGAACATGGGGGACTGAACAACCTGCTAGCTCCGTGCTTCAGTTAACAGGCAAAATGTTTGCAGGACTATTTTCAGTGAGTTGTTTTTCCTTCGTGCTTGAGAAGTTAAGTTGATCATTGAGATTGTGTATTAATGAACATCAAAAAGCATTGCTTTACTAATTCTTCGAGGTAATTTCTCTACAAGAGTCTGGGAAGATATTTCAAGTGCAAGAACACTGTATTTATTAGTCATGAGAAATCAGCAATTAACTGGCTGTAACACAACAGACCTTGTTATAGGTAGTATGAAAGACTGCTCTTTCAAAGGTCACACAGGCAGTTCTAATTCATTTGTAGTTAGAGAACATGTGCTAACAAACACTTCAAGGGAATTGTGAAGAGAATTAAAGAACACAAGGCATTCTAATGGAGCTAAGTGGGACTTAGCACTTGAAAAATTATTTTAGATCAAGTTTTATTTTTACATTTGAATATCTAAATACAGTTTTCAAAATTATACTTAAAACTGTAGCCTCGTATTTTTTAAGAGGAAGGCTAAATAGGCTCATTCTTGAGACTTGTTATGAGAATGAAAAGCTAATTTATTTTCAAGGTGGGATTAAGATAAATTAAATTTAGGTTCTGTAGTTGCCTTTAAGTTCCTCTTACAGCTGAGTGAGGTCTAGTCAATGCAATCAGTACAGAGAAAAGTTCAACTCACTCAAAAGTAGATGTCTACTGGCTGCTTAGCTATATTCTGAACTACACTGACTGCAGTGACCAGATGCTTTCTTCAGTAACATTCGTGTAGACTTCGCATTTATCTCCATGTTTAGTTTTATGAGCAGTAGTGTATCTTCAAAGCACATTTACTATATTAAATTTCCCATTGAAAAAATCAGTTTGCTTTGCGGAGTGGCTTTGTGTTGTGGTTTAACCTGGCAGGCAGCCAAATACCACGCAGCTGCTCACTCACTCCTCCCCCCAGTGGGACGGGGAGAGAATCGGAAGGGTAAGAGTGAGAAAAACTTGTGAGTTGAGATAAAGACAGTTTAATA